TTCTCTCTCCATGTGCTTCTTGGCTCATTGTCTTCTTCGGAGAAATGTCTGTTTAAATATTTTGTCTATTTTTAGTTGGTACTTGCTTTTTAATTGTTGGGCTAAAAGCAATCTTTGTTTTCTGGGTTCTAGGCCTTTATCAAAGGAGCCTTGGTGGCACTGTGGGTCCGGAGCTGGACTGTTCACAGCAAAGCTGGCAGTGCAGCCCTACCAGGCTTCCTGGGAGAAAGATGAGGCCGCTTCTCCATAAAGGTTTACATGCTAAGAAACTCTGTGTGGGAGCACTGTGCATCAGAAGGGCAGTGCTTTTCGCAGGAGGCCACTATCCCACACATGATTTGCAAATACTTCTCCCATTCTGTAGGTGGTTTTTAACCTCCTTGATGGGTTAATTTGCAGCCCCAGAGTTTTTAATTTGATTAAGTAAATTTTATTTATTTTCAGCTTAGGCTTTTGGGTGTCATATCTAAGATTCCATTGCCTAACCTAAGCTCATGGTGATCTATTCCTGTTTTTCATTCTAAGAGTTTTAGAGTTAATGCTCCTACCTTTCATACCTAGGTCTGTAACCCATTTTGCGTTTGATTGCATGTTTGTTTTTATTTATTAATTGTTTACTTACCAAGAGAAATGACTCCTTAGTCCACAGCCATGTTTCTTAGTTCAGGAACATAGGCCAGTGATGTTCTTGGAACTCAGCTCAAAGAAATTCTTTCCATTACACAGTCACTTTGCACTCCCAGATCTCCTCAAAATCCGTCATGGAATCATGGTTTCTGTAGAAATCTGTATGGACCATCTTTCTTGGATGGGCTGCGTGAGTGCTTATGAGTGCTGCACAGTATGAGCTCGCAGACCCCTGGCCGGAAGCTCTCGGCCCTCCCACAAACATCCTTCCTGGCCTGGTGGAGACATGATTGAGTTTGTTTTTGTGTCAGGTGAAAGAAGAGCCTTTGCTTCCCATTCCGTAATTAAGGGTAATACTACTTATATATGACACGTTTATAGGAGGTACTAGCATCCTCGACCTAGTAGTTCTTTTATGTCTGCTTCAAATATGCTCTCATTTGGGCCTTGCAAAGACATTCAGAAGCACACAGAAGGCAGTTTATGCTTGTTTTTGCAGTAGATGATTACAATGCACCCACATTGTATAGTAAGTAAATGTCAATTTGACAAAATTGCAGGTTTTTTCCAGCTTCAAATCACACCCTGCTGATAATACACTGTTCCTGAGCTTTAGCTATTATGCCCTGGATGGATCCCTGGTGGCACAGTGTTTAAGCATTTGACTGCCAGCTAGAAGGTTTGAGGCCTGCGTGAACCTACCAGTCAGACTGCAGGAGAACATGCTGCAGTGTGCTTTCATCAAGAGTTATAGCCATGGAAACCCTGTGAGTCAGTTCTGCTCTGTCCCGCAAGGCCACGATGAGTCATAATCGGTTAAATGGTACCAAGTGCACACCTGAGTCAAGAGCTCTAATCCTCACTGCCCTCCAAGATGACTAGTGAAGATAGCGGTGCATGCATCCTTTCCTTTTTTGAATCCCACTTGTAATATTGGTGTCAGAAGCTGGCGATAATAAGTTCTTTATCACTGAATGTTGCCGTATATTGTAAAACAGGAGAGTGGACCATGTACATTTTCTTCTTTACTTCTCAGTCTATGCTTTAGCATATACATAAATGATAATTGTGGGTTTTCAATAAAGT